TTGAAAAAAGAGTTAGGGGCGCCTGGGTGGCTCAGTGGGTTGAGCATCAGACTTTGGCTGAGGTCAGGATCTCACAGCTTGTGAGCTTTGCCATCAGGCTCTGCGCTGACAGCTTGGAGCCTGGAGCCTGCTTCGTATTCTGTGTCTCCCTCTCTGTCCCTCCCCACTCAACGCTCTGTCTCTCCCTCAAATAAACATTAAACAATTTTTTGAAAAAAATTCGAAAAAATTAAGCGAAACAAAAACAAGTGTTGGAGACCTGACAGGTGCTTAAACTTACCCCAAATCAGCACAAAGACATAAAAGGAAAAACAAAAAGCAAAAAACCTAAATGGATATTAAAAACAAAACAAACAAAACCGTTTCCATCCTCTCTTTACCTGCAATATGTAACAAACAACCCTATACTTCTTCATTTCTCTATCTTCCTCACTCAGCCCGGTGCCCGGCTCCAAGCCGACACCGAATAAATGTGCATGCGAGAAAGGACTCTTTTCATAAGGATGAAGGAGGATAATTTCCAGGACAACTCCAGTATGCACAAAATCTACATTTCGTTAACAAGGTTTCAAATCACACGGACACAGGTGGGCATGGGATGGCTTTTTTGGCGCAATTCACGTCCAGCTAGCTCAGGCGCCTGGAGCGCACTTCTCCGGGCCCCGGCACACGTCGCTATAGGATTCGAATTCCAGACCCTCAGGTCTCCAGGTCCCGTTAACGCAGCGACCCGTTCGCGCCCGCCCGTCTCACGCATGCGCCCTACCCCTGCAGGGCCGGGCGCTGCGAGCCCAGTTCTTGGTTTAAACCAGCCTCAATTTACCTTCCCCACAGCTCTCCGTACCACAGCGCCCGAGGCGGAAGTGGGCGGGGCGGCCTCGCGCCCCGCCCCGGAAGTGGGTGGGTCCAGCAGGCCGTGCAGTCTTGCCGGCCGCCTCCCAGTCGGGTTGCGGCCGAGGCCGGTCCTGGCTTTGTAGCTCGCTCAAGATGGCGGCGCAGCCACCCAGCGGGATCCGCCTCAGCGCGGTGAGCAGCCGCGAGGGGTGGAGCGGGCCGTGTCCCAGGAGGGCGGGCAGGCGGGCAAGCGAGGGGGGGCAGGCAGTGGGCGGTGGCGACTTGTCGGCGCGGCGGTTGGGGCCGCGGCG